CATCTTTTTGCTAATCCCAGTTTCAGAAGAGAAGTTAAAACATGAATAAACAGGATAAGTATATAAGTGACATGATGAATTAGCACAGCAGTAATTAAATGTCAGAAGGCACAAGAGACTCTAGAAAAGTTCAGTCCACTGCATGCTCCATTGTGACTCTTTAAAATTTGAGGGATTTACAGAATGAATTAAAAGGAAAAAGATGCACAAGAGTCTCAGGCCAGCCAAAGGATTCAGTGAAACACCTCCCATCTTAAAAAACGGACAACACATATAGCTACTCTTTTCTACCAAAATTTCTGAGCAGACAGTTGGACTGAAAGCAAGAATGCCACTAAAGCCTTCCAGTTCTTTACGTTACTGAAGCAGGGTGGGGATTTTAGAAGCAAAGCATTCCCCTTATTGGACCCAGTGAAGCACAGAACACTTTTGCCATTTGTTCTTAAATATTACAGCCTTAAAACACAAAAATCCCACCTCTCTACTCAGCCAGCTGCAGACTGGTTTGTCAGGGCTGCCATCCACCAGCAAGACACAGAGCTCCACAGCCTGGAGGAGTTCACCACCCTAGCTCCCACACTGCTGAGGGGCAGCTGGGATGCTGCTCCTGGGATGCTGGAATGCTGCTCCTCACTCAGCTGATGGGTTGCTGCAGCTCTGAGGTCAGGAGTTTGAAGGCAAGTGAACAGCAGTGATGTTTTATTCCAAAACATCACATTGTACAATGAGTGATTCAGCAGCTGATTCACGGTGGCTGAGATGTCCAGGAATGGGGTGTGGGGTGGGGTGGACAGATGGGGCCTGTGATGCCACCTGTGCTATGCTACCCCCTTAGTGAATCAGAACTCTGACATGAGTCCTGTAGCTCTGTATCTATGGAGTTCTGCACTCTGCATAATTTCTGTAGCGTGCTTTGTGCCCCCTGCATACTTCCAAGTGACAAAACTGAAATTTGATGTTCTCAACAGAGACGTGAGCAGTTTCCCCTACACTACCACCAGAAGAGAATCACTGTGGTATTAAACTTTCACTAACCTTGGGGAGTGTGTTCTATTCTATGTGACAGAGATGTAATCCTAACCCACCCCAGGTGATCCAAGCCAGAAGATCCACCTTCCCTATCTGCATGGGCAGTAGCTAATGGTTCTGGACCATTTCAGAGTGATAACTGGGTTCATCAAGAGCTGTTCACATATTCATCCACAGAAAACAGAATTATTATGGCATTATTTCAGTGCTTAGACCTGGCACCTGGCAGTTTGGATCTGCTACAGGCTCCTCACGTGGCTTTAGTCGAGTCACTCAGTTTCTCATTACTGCATTCCTCTGTTTGACAGTACAAAGAAGGGTAAATATGGGGTTATTTCCTTTCATTAAGCACTAAGATCTTTTTTCAAAAGGTGTACAGAAGGTGTATCTTATATTACTGCCTGGAGCATGGTACTAGCCCTAAGCATGAAGCTCTCTTGACATGGTTCCTTCTTCATCCTGATCAAAGCAAGACATATTCTGAATCCCAAAACTGTTGCTCTTTGCAGACACCCATGCTTGGCCTTTTGGTGCTACCCTACAGTACACTTCAAAAGAAAACACCTTTCCCTTTTGTAATCATAATAGGCAGCCAAGTTATAATTTACAACAGCAAATTTGTGGTGTTTAGTGCTAAATAACAGTACTAAATTTCATTTAACTGTTTCTACCTAAAACCTTATTGCCAGATGTCTCTGCCATTTAGATGATGCAGAAAAATTGCTGGTTTTAGGGCAAACAATTCATATGATCTTTTTTCCCCAGTCGCCGAGTCCTTATGTTTCCATGAACAGTACAGAATTTTTACTGACACTTCAATATACAGCAGGTTGAAAGCAGTATATTCACACTTTCTGCAACAGAAATACTTCAGTTAAACACCCACCACCACCACCACCACAACAAAAATACACTTTCCAATGTCTAGATTGAAGATAAAAATGGATGGTTGCACTTTGTCAGCTAAGAGAGGAAGTACAGCTCCGTATGTGCACCAGCTACACTTGCCTCTCACCCATTTATATCTAGGCTGGGTATCAGCCAGAGACAGAACAGAGCTGGGTCTGAGATACAGAGGACTTGTAAAACATTTATCTGCAATCAGCCTGCCTGACTCCTTGGGAACTCGAAGAGAAGCCCATTACAGCCAAAATGAGTGGAAAGACCTTTCTCCCCAGGCCAGCAGGGCCCCAGCAGACTGGTCTGTGTCAGCCCCTGAGACCAGCGGCAGTTCCCGGGCCCGACTGAGGGTGGACCCCTGGGCCTTGCAATCGACGGTCAAGCGCTCCTTGCCCCGAAACAATTACAGCTATTAAGTCACCACCCAGTAGGTATGATATTGAGCAAATGTACACCACGCTGGGCTGTGAAAAGATCATTACAAACGCGGCCTAACAGCGTCTGAATCCCTGCAGGATGTTTAAGGGAGGATCAACTCTAGTCCTGATGGACAAGTACTGTCAGTTCAGCACGCTACATTCATGCAGAAAGCACCTGGCCTTGTATCAATGAGAGCAATTACCTCAGAGAATACCCCACTCCCCACTCTGACTCAAGCTGATTTATCCTCTGTCTTACTCCTCATGAATCCCAAGTCTCACAGCTCCCAGGCTCCTTTCTGCACGTGTGTTACCTGGCATTTCTGGCCCTATTTCCACGTGTGACAAGAGGCAGGCAGAGTACCTGACCCCATGGGAGGGGTGACCTGGGGAACATTTTATTCTGGGGAGAAGATGCATTTTGATGAATCAAACCCAAAATAAGTCAGAATGCATGGATCTGAGTCACTCAGTGCTATTCTGGAGCCGCCTAGGGAGAGTGAGCTGGATTGTTGTCATGATCCTGCACATTTCCCATTTCAAAATACAGCCATACTAAATGCCACCCATTCAGGTTCCTCACAGTAGCGATTTAGTTTTTTAATACTACTTCTTATAGCAGCTAGAACAGAGGAGAAATTAGCAGCAGCTTTCAGCTAGAGTCTTTGCCTCCTGTTTGTAAATTAATGTATTGTCTTGCTGTGGCTGCAAAATGCTTTCTGGAAGCTTTGTTTACAAGCTCATTTTCTATCAAAGTGTTTATGAGATGATGTGGCTCAGTCCCTCATACCCATGCCAAGCAGAGGGCGCTTGTCAGTGCTTGCAGAGTACACCTGTGTGTTTACTAACATTTGGAAAAAATGCTTAAGTATGTGCAATCACAGACTGTGCCTCCTCCTCTGAAATGCAGGCAATCTATCCCAAAGAGCCCTAGCATATGTCACATAGACCCTTACAGTGATGTACAGCACAGACTGGCAATATGAGCCACACACAGCTCCCTCCTGTCTTCACCCCAAGAAAACCTCACTTTTTAACCACCCTGTTAGAAAAGCAAAGCCCCATATTGTCAGCTTCTCCAGTTCATATTCCTCCACGGATCATGCTGCAGGGCTGAACTGTGCCTGTCACTTCTGTCACAGTGTGACAGCAGCTCACCCCGCAGACCAGGAGCAGGCACGGTAAGGACTGTGTAGATAACCCACACAACCGCAGCACAGGCAACAACACACACAGCCGTCCCCCAAAACCTCAGCAGAAGGAAACCACAAAGAATGCAAACCAACAGGGATTCAGCGCACCCTACAAAAAAAACCTTTACTCAGTGCGTGGCACAGCTGTGAGCTTAACCCCTGCTAAATCAGTAATTTCTTTCCTCTTTTACAAAGATTTAACAAATCCTACAGTGGCCTGTTTCAGTCCTGCTGTTCAAAGGAGTGATATCCCCACTGCTTATCCAAAATCAGAGCCTGGTCTCAGCTATTAGTTCTCTCCAGTACAGCTCATCAGTTAGCTACTTGTCTTGAGTATATTGAGCATTGATTTTCAGCTGATTAACAGCTTCTCTCCAAGGCATCTCATTTGGAAGCCGTAAGATAAGCCTGAGGAAGCCGTACTTCAAAAAGCTCTTCTCAGCTTTCAAAATAAAGAGAGAGCCTGGAGACCCATTCCTGCCTGCCCAAGTCCCAGTTTCCCACAGATGGCACAGATGACATCTCAGCCCACCAAGGCGCTAATCTCACTGAAAGCAGCCCCCTCAACATTCCTCACTTAGACACAGCCGCCCGAGGTACACAGCACCTCTTTGTTCCCGGCTCTTTTGATTTTTCAGCCCATTCTTGCCCTTTGAGAGGAGTCAGCCCTCCTCCGCTCTGTTCCGGAGAACTCCTCTGAAAGAGTTCCTCATCCCCCTGTGTTCTCTTTAGCTTTACACACGGGCAGGCATTGCTTGTTAGGGCTGCCTTAGTTTACGGTCTGGACTGACGCACTGGTCTTGGGTCATTTAACACTGATTTGGGGTCATTTAACATTGATTTGGGGTCATTTAACAGTCCTTACTCGTACCCCTGAACTGCGCAGGAGCTTGAAGTTTTATCACACTTACACCCAGCAGATGCCCAGAGAAAGACACACACACACACACACACACAGAGACAGACAGATACAGACGCACACACACAGACACACATCCCGCCCACACCCCCTTTTTACTCAGCCCTACAAACACAATCTGGTACATCAGTGCTTTTTTACCCTTCCCACCCAAGAAAACCAGCGATCAGTCGAACTGCCGGGTGTAAAGAAAAGCAGGGAAAGCTTCTCCAAGGATTATAGCCAAGGGGGAAAAAACTAAAAAATCACATCGTGCAGTTGTAGTACTCTGTTCTATCTCACTACAGGGAAGGATATAAGGAGAAGGACCCAATCACTGCACCATCACTGCTGGGCTGAAGTCTCTCCCTTCCCCGGTATGCTGATACCCCCCAAAAAGCAGATCTGTCCGTACAGAACTGGCTAGCCAGGAAGGAGATTAAACACCGGGAGGAACGAGACCGTCCTGCCGGAGCTGGCAAAGAAGACAGCGACTGGATGGATGGATGGATGGATGGACGGACGGACAGACAAGACGCACCGCAGACACACGGACTGTACCTGGAAGTGGCAGGCGCTCCCGGCCCCAGACGCTGCTTTATGGCTCTCACGCACTCATCATCCACAACACAGCACGGCGCGGCTCGGCTCCCCTCGGACTGTGCCGGCGGCGGGCGGAGCGCCGTGAAGCGCCGCTCCCCTCCCGCCGCGTCCCGTCCCGTCCCGCTGCGTCGCCGCCCCGCCCGGCGCAGCGCCGGTGCCGCGGGGGGCGGAGCGCTGTGCGGCCCGCCCGCCCCGAGAGCCGGCCCCGCCCGCCGCGGCGGGCAGCTGGCACCCGGTGTCACCTGTGCTGCTGCCCGCCGTGGCCTCAGCTGGTGTGCCCGGCACCATCCACACACACACCGTGCGTCCTCTGAGTCTCCCAGGTTGTATTTCCAGCACAGAGGATTGCTTTCCTCAGCCCGGTGCTGTTTCTTCTCTCTCGCCAGTTCTCATCCAGTTCCCCGTGCGGTTCATGCTCAGTAATCTTCAAAAAGGTCTTGTACGGATCCGCTGCAACTCCTCACCCACCGCCCTTCGTCTTCTCTGCATCTCGGTTCACCAGCTTGGATCTGGTGCCCCATTGCTCTTGGAAGGGGTGGCGAACACTTTGCTTCTTTGTGCTCTCTCCAGAGCACTCTTGAGTTTTCTCCACTTCTTGCACTGCACTCTCAGCACTTTTCCAAGATGAAAAGTCCAGGTTTACCCTGTTACTCTATATAACAGGATGCGAATCTTGGACAAGCCTTGTTATCCTCCACCAGCATTTTTGCAGTACCTCTAAACCTTCTGAGATGAGGGAAATGGCGCTGCATATGCACAGTTCAAGGTGCAATTCAACCTCAGATTTAGGGAGCAATACTCCAACTTTCACTGCGCTATACCCCCCTCCTAACATTTACTGATCTATGCTCAATTTCCTTTTTTTGACCCCTCAGAGTATCCAACCAAGGTCTTCCTATGGAGTGGCAGCAGCCAGGTCAGATCCTGCACTTGACAAGTGAGGCTAACTACATGCATCAGATGTTCCACTAACTGAAGAAAAATTATCCCTGGTAGTTAAAGGCTTGAGAGACAGGTGTCTCTAGCTGCTATTTCTACATTCAAGAATAGAAGGAGCTTGAATAAGCCTCACACCCTGTGGCCAGGATGATTTTGGAGGCAGTCACACGATCCTGCTTACCTGCCTTCCCAATTCTTTAAGTAAAGGATATAGAAATAAATACCTGTAAAAACTAGTTTAAAAGGAATTGTGCTGTCAATGTAACTAATAGTAAAAGGAACCCCAACACAAAGGGCCTTTGTGCATGCAGATTTCTCTCTTTGGAATTAGGACTTAAACACACACGTGGTCTCACTGTGGATTCTAGAAATTACTTGCAAGACTTTATGTTCTGGATTCACACAAAAACCTGCTCTGTCACTTTGGACAGTGTCACATATAATGTGAAACATAACAATATGACATTGTAATGCTGTTTCTGAAGGAAGATGACATACTGCCAAGTCATGGGTCCCAGCACTTGCACACATATCCTGGTACTTTTCCCATTTTGGCAAATATGTCAGAGGATGGTGATGTATTTTCTTCAGGCTCTGCTTTGTGGTGGTTCTACCTCCAATTCCTCTCTGTGACAGGTTTCTCAATGCAGCAGACTACCTGACTTTCTTGATTCCTGTTTATCCCTACAATTTCCTTCATCAGACACCCCATGTTACTATACATATAAGAAATCTACTGGAAAAAAGATTTAGATTTCATCCAGATAAAGAGGCTTCTTTTTTATTTTTATTTTTTTTTTATTTTTTGCCCCTCTCAGATTCAAGGGCAAACATCGCTTTTCCCTCCCCTTGTCTCCTGTGTTCTCAGACAACATCTTTGATTAAAGTGAAAATATTTTACTGAAGTAATTGCAAGTACAGGCACGTTTATTCTGGTTTGTTTTGGTGCAGGCTGACAAGAATGAAGGCAGCCCATGGGCTCCCTGGCAGGGAGGAAAATCCCAGGGAAGTGACTCTGTGTGGTGCTGCTCAGGCCTCCTTTGCATAGTGCAGGTGGTTATGAATCACTTGGCAAGAGTTGAGAGGAGATCACAGCTTGGAAGGAGTAAAGAATTACAGTTATGAGTCAACCCTGCAAGCACAGAACATGCCTGCTTTGTGCTGCTCAGATGTTTTCCTTGTTTATTCTTCCCATTTTGATATGATGGTCCTCACAACAGCAATGCAGATTAAGGGAATTAAGCACAAATAAAGCCCAAAAAGCGACATGGGGAATGATTAAACCAATTAAACCAACTCTTGCCAAACAAGTTCTAAAATCCAGGCTGAGTCCTCATGGATCTGCCAGTAGGAAACCCAGCATCTAGGCTGGGCTTTAACATGAGTCCATCCACCATGGCAGAAATACGGGCTGCAGGCTTGGGCTGCAAACCAGGTCTCTGCTTTGTCTGTGGATTTGGGCTGTGGAAAATGTCATCCACAGCCCCACATTATCTCTATTATTACTATACAACGTCAGCATGTGAGAACAATGTGGTACTTCAAAACAAAATGGATATTAGGAGAGAAGGGTGCTTCTCTGTGTCGTAGACATAGAAAATCCCGCGCCAAACAAACTACAATTCTGGCTGATGGTAACCAGGCTCCTGGGTTTTTAGACCCACTCCAGAAAAGGCAAGTTTGACAGCAGTGCCAGTATAAACTGCTGAAGGAGTGAGAGCTGTAAAGTTTCGGTACTTTCATAGAATGAAGATGCATTTTTTTCAAGCTATTTCTGTTTACTTTTCTGGTGACTAATAAGTGAGTTAATGTGCTTCAAATCAGCATACTCAGACTTCATATTCCATCTCTCTTTCAGACACAAGAGTTACAAGTTATAAAGAATGGAGAGTAGGGGGAAAGCAAATTTAATGGTTTCAGATAACTTGAGGAAATGCAGCTTTAGAAAGCTCATCAAGCCTGGACATAGTGAAAATAGAGTTGTTAACTCTATGCAACTTGTGTTGTGGCCTAACTTCTGTCACATGGTTGAAAATCTGTGTACTGATAAAACAGCCTGCACCCTCCCCATCTCCAGATTTATCCTGACCTCCTGCAGGATGGCTTGTGTTATGTGCCCCAGCCTAATACTGATCACTTCCAAGTGATAAACCAGAAACCTTGTCCCTCAGTTTGTCCAGCAATCATTTGCTGGCCAAGCACACATGGTAAAACAGTTAAATGATGGTGAACTTTAAACATCAAGAGAGAACATTCTCTCTTGTTTCAGCAGGTAACTGTCTGGACAGTTCTCTGTCAGAGCAATGTAAAACAATTGGCCAAACTTGCTGCTGTCTGCCTCCTCTAACTCCAAAAGGTCACCAAAGAGTAATAATTAAGAGAAAACAGCCAGTACCCATTTTTTTTTCTTTTCAGGACTTGTTGCTGTGCAAATAAATTAGCCCTTACCCTGTGGTTTGTAGCAGTTCCCTGCATAAAGCAGAAAGACATCAGGTTTTATTTTAGCCCGATGTTTATTCAGCTTGAACTTGAACTAGGATCATATTAAAAACAGATTACAAACCATTTAAGAGCTCTTAATGCTTGCCAAAACTAGCCTGTGGTTTTAAATGAGATTCAAGGCAAAGTAAATGAAAAGTAGTATTGAAGTCACTGTGGAGAAGTCATGTTACCTAAAACATGCACGACATATTTAAAGTACTCAGCAGAACTCCGTACACAAAGAGTACTCTTGTGCAAATGAATGGACGGGAAGGATTTAGAATGTGAAGTCAATTGTCTGAAATTCAAAGTAAGCAATTGTCTGAAATTCAAAAGTCTGGCAACACCAGCACACATTCAAACCTGTACACAGAACTCCTGCTGTGAAAATGAAATCATTGGGACACCTGCAGAATTTCACACATCTGTTAAATTTCTTGCAGATCCAGATACCAAAGCTCTTGACCACTCTGAATTTTCAAAAAACTTCTGCAATTCACTCTGTAAACATGCAGAATAGATGTATCAGTCCAGCAGATCACTTAAACTTTGCCTTGGCTTCAAGTTTGAAACGAAGTGCGAAGTGCAGGGCATACTTCAGTGATTTGACAGAAGAATTCAGGCAACATTCTTCAGTGTTTAGATGCAGTAGTGTGGCAGTACAGGGGTTGTGTGTGGACATTAGAGATGTAAAAGCACTCAGGGCACTTGAATTGTAGGCACACAGTAGTCCCTGTGGCAGACCTGTTGTAATGACACTTTGATTTTAGCTGTTTACAACTTTGTCAGAATTTTAGCAATTGGAGCTCAAAGTGTTGGTGGCAAGTTCCTACTTCAGGCTAGGAACTTGAAAATTCAGAAAATATAGTTTATGCTCTTCTGAAAAGGTGGTGGACAAAAATCTAGTGTTATTGCTCATCTTACTGTATTGACTGTAGCTTCCTTATTTCTGCCTATTACCTACTGAAGGAAAATCTGTGCAAAACCTTGGACAGGGTCTTGAAAGTTGAAAGAATACGCTCCCTCTAATTTTCCTTGAATGTTTTGACTTTAATGCAAGAACTGCCCAAATTCAGACAAGCTCTGTGCCTGCCCTGTGAGCACGTATGAAAATTTGTCAGCATGATTCACACAGACCTTCTCATGATGGACAAAATCAGTCACAGGTTTTAGGGGCTGAGCTGGACTTGCACTGCAGTGATCCCCTTCAGTGCAGTGGGCACCAGAGCTGAGGAGATGGAGAGACTCTTTTATATTCTCTGTGCCCTCCATGTTAGCACCAAGACAGTGTGAAAAGGAGCGGAAAAGTTGACTCAGTGTGGCTTAATCTCAGTTTTTATCATTAAAAGATGCTGTTTTTTTAATTGCAGTCACTTGCATTATCAGTGACCTCTATTTAATTGTCCCAAAGGAATAAACTGTCCAGGATGAAATAATTAAGTCTCCCTTTTATTCTATAAAACTTCCCCAAAGTATCTTAATTAATGAGTCTTTGCAAATCTGAAAAATATTCCAGCTTGTCTTACTGACAAAGAAATGGAGGCGTTTTCAGGGGCAGATGATGCAGCATGTGAACACCTAACTCTGAGAACAGAATCCTGATCCCCAGGTCCTCTGTGGCTTGGGAGGTCAGAACCTTATGGACTGGGAAGTGTGCCTAAAAGGAGATTATCTAGAAGAAATAACATACTTTGCACAATCA